TTTTTAAGTGTTGTGTTAAATTAGATACGGTTTTGCAATTAATAATTCTTTTACATATATTGCATTTTGCCCATACATCGCCTTTTAAAGTAAAATAGTCCCAAGCCCAATGGAATTTCACTTCTTTCTTCTCTTCTTCTGTTAATTTGTCCGGATGTATTGCTGTCAAATGTAAATGTAAAATATTTAAGTGCCAAATATCTATAAGATATTGATCATTACAGTGGTTGCATGTTGCTTCATTAATATTCGTTTTTGTGTAATGTCCACGTATCCAGCGACGAACTGGGATTACATTGTCTGATGCACATCCCTGAAAAAATAATTTTTGATTGGCAATACATATTACAAATGTGATTAATGAAGCAATAAATGAATGTTTCTTGTAGTAGATTATATTTGCATAGAAAGTTTAAAGTTTAATTAAAATCTATTTATATGAATTGTTACTAATGCAAAGCAATTATAGTTACTCATTATGCGTTTCTGTTTCTTCTGCACGTTCGTGCAATTTATAATCAGATAAGTTTAATGATCCAGATGGACCTTCTTGATGTCTTTCTTTCCTTAGATTTGTATCCCTGTTTAAATTATCTCCTACTTCTCGTTCTGCCATTATAACCGCTCCGTTCGGACATTAGTAACTAATCAAAGATGGCACAGAAATGATGCTAAAAAGCGTTCGCAGAAATTGTTTGTAAAAGGTTACAGAGGTACGTACACATGATTCCTTGCCGGAATGTTTTCATATACATAAATATTGATGTTTATGAATTTTGAATCTATTTATCACGCGTGCGTTTGTGCGTGCGTTCGTGCGTGCTTGCTAGTATGTAATTCTATTTTGTCTTAAAATCGTATAATTAATGTATTATTCAAATTTCATAATTTTAAATCTACGCCCCAATTCTTATTAGATCATATCCTACAGAGAAATATAATATAGTCATGCCTTTGAATCAACCAAAATCCACGTGACCCAATGAATATTTTAAGGATTAAAATTGGGAAAAGCATGTAATTATTCTGAAAAAATATTATTGTCAGTGGAAATACATACGAATAGTTTTACTATAAAATCATTGTATAAAACATTTCTTGACATTTTGAAGAGTTTTTGAGATATAAGGAAAAAACCCGTTAAAATATTATCTAAAACAAATACCTGAATTATGATTTTACATAGTAAATGGAAGTATTTCCTCAATTTAAAACTCGAAAACCTAGCCGGATGTTCCCGATCGCCTTAAAAAATGGTAAATCCGTAAAATTCGGACGTTTGGTCAACCTACTTGCAGTATTATACAATACTTTGCACACAATTGAAAACGATCCACTCATATCGCTGAGACTATAAAGCCTATAGACACCCGTCTGCTGTGATTGGACATCGTCGTTTATAAAAATATATAAACGAAATAATATATAAATGAAAAATACTTTCTCAAATAACGTAATTATAACGAATTATTACTTTAATAAATCATTAATTAATGACGTAACTTATTACGTTTTCTATTTGGTCATGAGAAACTGTAACTTGTTACTTTCAAATAGTAAATTTTCCATTTCTTGATATTATACCTTAAAATTGATTTCCCACCGCAACTAATACTTTCTAAAGGAACCTATTTCGTATGGAAAAATAAATTTTAAATTGCTTTGTTTTTAGAAATATTGTAGTTTTTATGATTCTGGACAAGTGTTTCTTTTGCTACATTTATATAAAATCAACAGATAAAAAGATAGGAATATTTGAAGTTACAGAACCTGAATGTCTCCTTTACATTAACTTCTGCTTCCTGAGACCAATGGTATTAAGGAATTTTATAACAGTTGCAAAACTGCTTTCTGTGCTCAACGGAGCTATTATGCATATGACAAAAATTATAATTTTTAAAAAAAAGGAAAACTAACTTCACATATTCTCGGTCTCATCGCAGCGCCGAGACACTATCGTGTCTCATAACATACGGATATATTCTTGAATTTGAGTGCAGTATATGTATGTGTGCTCCTCAAAAATAGAAGAAACGGAGTGTAAATTGTAAAATCTAAAGAACGATAAAAACATGAATCTAGTAAAAAATTTAGCAAAAAATTAAAGTTTTTTATAATATTTAATCTTTCTCAAATATTTTATCACAGATACATAATGATCACAGATACATAATAATGATCTAATGCAATTACCTTACCATAAGTACATTCCATTTAACGTTAGAAACGTTCGTGATAATCACTTCATTCTCGTTGCTATCAATCAAATGTTAAATAAGAGTTAAATGATAAATACAAAAGCATTGTACACTTTATATGAAACGTATCATACGTATTTCATGGGCATAATAGGTTCTCTTGTTTTCTCTTAAAATACGTACCAAAAAGAATACATTCCGACCACTCTGATAACCTAGCCGAATATCCTCAAACGCCTTAAAGAAAGTTTCAAATAAATCGGATCTCTGGTCATCCTACTGGAACTAATTGTTTGTAACGAAGTTACAGTTAGAGTTATCTTTCTCATTGTCAATAACTATAATAAACTTTGTTTTTTTTCCATTTGCATCTTCTTAAATTACATCAAATACATTCTTTTGGAATTGGTTACTAATATTTATTAAATTCATAGTTTTTTTTTAATAAATTCGAACGAAGTTATTTCAATGTATTTATTTTTCTGTGATTGAATCTCTTTTACATTATACAGTTATATTTACAAGTGTTCAAAAACGACTATTTCGAGAGTATTCAGCATTAAAGTACGTTCACTTTCAATTCGGTACAATTTTTTTTCACATTTATTGATATTGATTTAAAAATAGCCATAATGTGTTTTATCATTTCCATATTGTTCTTTGATTTAATATGATTCGATTTTATGTATAGCAAAAAATATTCATACAGAGAAAATATTATTTAAAAGTTTAATTTTGAAAAAGTAATTATTATTTAATGAGAAATAAGTCATCGAATTTATGTCGAATCGATATCGATAGGATAACCACTTTGATGTTGATTCGACGTATAATTGATGATAATTTCTGGATAATTAATAACTTATTCATAAAGAATATAATAGACTATATGTTTCTCAAAATTAAACATACCAAAGTAAAGTATTAATTACAGAAAATATATCATTTGAAAAACAAGTTAAAATTAAAAATTATCGTAAAATTAATCTTTTAAAATCTGAAATACGGAATTCGTATGTTAGAACGGAATTCATTATGCGAAATTGCTAATTATTGTTTAATTATTTATTTTTTAGAAATAAGATTTTCTTATAAAAAATTTCCTTGTCCAAATACTTTTTGCATTTACTGTATATGTATTATAAATAAATTAGTAAGTACAAATAAAATTACTTCTACACAATATAGAATTAGAATAGAATAAAATACATATCTCCTTCATATATTAAATGGGAAAAGATCTACATTAAAATTGTAATATCTCGAAAACAAAAAAATCATACCAAGAAACAAACCAAGATTTAAATATTAAAAGTTGATGCCTTAATGTGGCATTATATATATATTAAAATTTTGATATATAATAAAATTCTCCGATGCTGCAATTAAGAACGCTTATGCAACTAATAAGTTTTTTACATATTTTGCATGTTGCGTTTAAATCGCTTTTTAAAATAGTCTCAAGCCCAATAGAATTTTACGTGTTTCTTCTCGTCTTCTGTTAATTTGTTTGAATGTGCCTCTACATCAAATGCTTACGTAAATTTACTAAGCGATTAATATCTATAACGAATTTTTCCTTTCAATGATTGCATGTTACTTCATTATTTCTTGTCAATTTCGTATAATGTCCACGTATTCAGCGATGAACTAAGTGTTGATTGTTTTCTGCTTCTCGTTTCTGTCATAATCGCTCTGTACGGAATATTAGTGACTAATCAGAGATGGCACAGAAGCAATGCAAAAAAGCGTTTGCAGAAACTATTTATAAAAAAGTATTTATAAAAGATCAATTATAGAGGAACGTATGATTCCTTGATTGAACATAAATATTGATGTTTATATATTTCGAATCTATTTTACACGAGATTTAACAAATCTATTTATATAACTTTAATCATATATTATTAGCAAAAAAATTAGAAATTGATAATATAATTGATACTGTAAGGTATTATACTTTGTAATCTGCATTGTCATAATCGTATGCCATGCTACATCTGCATATATTTCTTCTTACCAATTATAAGAAGATCACTAAGAGGAAACTGATTATGTTTAGTATATTCCAAATTATAATTTTTTAATGATATTTTCTGTAATTTAAATATTCTCTAGCTTTTTGAAATTTCTTGCTTCAACTTTTTATATTATTTGTATTTGATGTAAGAATACAAATTTTATATTGAGCGTTTTATTTTATACATTACATTTGTGTAATAAACATACATTTCAGTTAAATGCAAATTTTTATTTTATCAGACATTTACATTTTATGTAAATTAATTGTTGACATTTATCACATTGTGGTTTTTACATTTTATTAAGTATTTATTTATTTTTTTAAATGAAAAAGAAATAGATAGTTTCAAACAATTTCTAATTAGATAAATTTTGTTTATTATCACCCCTACAGCACGAAATATTGCAGCAACATTATAGCAATAATGAAATTTAAATATTATATTGTAAGTATTGCGACTAATTATGAAATATTATGATTTTAATCTTTTGTTGGAAATATTATATATTGCTGAAACATTACAATTTAAGAGGTAAGTACATAGCTCCTGCACGAGATAAATGCGCATCTCATAAGAAGAAAACGTTCAGGAGATCTATAAGAGGGCATGTGCTAAAGATACAGCACTGAAACTTGTAGTATCATTGCAGAAACGTCGCAGATTGCGCTGCAACATTATAGATATCAGGAATTTTAATATATAATAAATATTGCAATGAATGATTTTATAAATCTTACATTATTATTACAGAAACATTAAAAATATTTTGACTTTTGAGTAATGCCTGCTGTCACATATAGAAGCATAGATCAATTACACGTTGTATGATTGTTAATTACTTCCGTTAATTTAGGAATTATAAGATTCATTGAAACATATATTGTCGCCGCCACGCGACAATATTTTTCAAACTGTATAATCAACTGTTATAATTTTTTTGAAATATTGATATTTAAAAAACTCTTTGAATATTGCAAAGAAAATGAAGTAGAATGTGTGGAGTTTCTTCTTATGGAAACGAAATTACACGTTGGTAATTGTTAATTAAGGAAATGATAATGAAAAAGTAATTTATTTCTATTTGTT